TCTGGTTTCTTTCTGTTATGTTATTATATTACATTTCACACCCGTCTAACGCCAGACTGTGTGCCAAACAAATCGCGGTACAATAATCCGTATAAAAAGAAAAACATTCCATGATTTGCACGTGGGTTGAATACTGTCAGGTTGCCCAGGCCAAGGCAGGTGAATTTTCTTCAGGAATCCACAACCGGAGCCTTCGGCTAACCAAAGCCTCACTCGCAAGGCAGAGGGACGGTGTGTAAAAACCGCAGTCCATTGGGAGCCGGTGTCCACTTTATCGGATCCTATGCTCTTCGGACGGGGTCAAACGTCCAAGGCACCCAATACACCTCGATGCCCAATTGAGCGCGGTGACCGTTGCCACAACCGAAAAGGTGTGGGTGTGTTTCATACTCCTCCTCTTGGTTTGTTTGGATTCAGGGTTTTTGACCAACTGCCCTAGGTGAACTACCAGTGGTCCACCACCCCGGTTGTAGTCTCTGAATTTGGCTTTTCATCCTCTCACTTGGGTGGGAAAACACCTCCACCACGAGAAGCCAGTGACTAAGAATTCCTCAGCAGAGGCCATTTGAGACGATTGGTCGTATGGGAGCATTTCACGAGGTGCAAAAGAAGGTTGGCCAAACGCAACCCTAGACACTCACCCCGACTACACTATTTGTGGTCCCGTGGATTCCCCTCGGTTTTCCTACGAGCCCAACAGGTCCACTTGAGATCCCATCATGTAACTAAATCCTTCGATGCATTCGCATAAGATGCCTTAGTCTAACTTCGGATCCGGTGTTTTATTATGACTTTGCTACATTGATTAATTCTGGAGGATACGTTTTTTTTCAGGTACGAAACGACACCAACCACAAGGAAAATCGCCAAAATATCCAAAAGATCACTTATTGAAACATAACACTTATCACTTCACTCATGAAGGATAACTGTCCCCAATTCGTGAACAGTACGGGATGCCCTTCAATACAAGTAAACACACCTAGTCAGGCATTTTCAATGGGGTTTGAATCCGGGCTGTGGGATGGTCGGTTCATGGTCTTTATACTCCAGCGAATTAGCCATATTCCACTGAGGTATTTAGGTGCACTATCGTGTTGGAAAATCATGGTTCCCAATCGGTTTCTGTAATCGCAGAGAGGGCAGACTAGTTCAAGGTCTTGGATGTGAGATTCCGTTGTCTGATTTCATTTGTGAATCACGACTCAAAATTTCCATTCGCCTAAAGCGTATTATCCCAGAACATGACACCCGTCCACCGTAGGCTCAACAACTGAGGGCTAACTTGACCCTAAGCAGGTTATGCCATGAGTCCCATGGAGCCATCGAGGCTAAACTTAGTCTGGTTACTGAATTTCACACCGTTCCGTTTAGAATTCCAGTAGATGTGACTTATAAGCTACGCAACTCGATCACCAATATGATGGTATGTTATCCATGGTATTCATTTCATCTTCCTGATTTATAGGTGCTCACTGTAACAAATGCTGCATGTGACGCACACTCACACTCACGTTTAATGATTGCTGTATCTTTGACGCGGTTCTTACCCGATTCGAAACAGCACAGGAGAGAGAGAGAGCTGTCACGTGACTTGGTCATAGATGTTTCGTTCAACTTCGCGTTTATTCTTCTCGGGTTATACCAATGTGGGTCATGCTTCTCTGTTTCGATACACGATGGGTTCATGAACTCAATCTCAATGCGTGACCTGGGTGATAGTTGTTTATTCGCCGTGTGCGACGTGAATATTGTACAGCTGGAGATCGTCTAACATAGCTGAGACATGAACGACTCATAAAACTCACGTGGCAAGCGATGGAGTGCACTTCAGCACTCCCACAGCCCCCCCCCTCCCAAGCATCACATTTTCTAGGACAAATCAGTTCGACAAAGCCCTACTACAGATCAATTAGGTTTCTCTATACATGGTAATGAGCTATATCATCATGGCTTAAGATTGGATCAATGAGGATGATTTAGTTAGTTATCGAGGCACTACAAAAAAACAGTGGGTTTAATTGTACTTCGTGCACTATACAATGGAAACAGAGTAACAACACGTGATAAAAATATGCCTGAATTTGGCGTCTTACACCTCGTCGGAGTTCAAATCACAAACATTTCAACGTTGTGTATTGCATTCCACTCAATCGATCGAGGCTGACCCGAGTTCCGATAACGAACCTGACTGAGATGGTTGTCATTTGTTTTTGGGTCTTTTTTATTACACACCTAAGTGTGATGAACAGCAGACGGGGCGAATCCCATAGTCACGATGACCTGCTGTTATGTGGCGGAAACCGCCAACCTAAGCCCCGGGGTGGTGAACCACACAAGGCCCCAATAGTTTAGGCGTGGCATTACACCGGACAACACAGGAACTGCCTACCACCAAAGTCGGGTGGCAGTGACGGGGTTCGAACCTCAGACCATAGGGTCCAAAGCACGCCGGTGACAGTGACTAAACCGCTGCGCCAGCACCTCAGAGCGAGACAGAACATGTCATAGTAGTAATTAATAATTATAAGGACTATCTGACCACATGTTCCCATACAATCCTCAGTTCACCCAGACAATCACACACCAGGTAAGCGCTAGACTTCAGTTTCACGCTGCTTAGAGAGCTCACCAGTAGTGCACATCCACCGTCCCATCGTCCGGACCCATTGCATTGCAGGCGTGGGCGTTACCTCTGTGCCAACTGGCTCATACTATGGCTGAACCAAATTGTTAATTCGTTTGTTCAGGTGTCGTCTTCAGAGGTAATCATTCATTTATTCTACATCATTACTCTGGCCTCCGAAAACCGCAGTATAATTGGGGGTGGATGTCTAGTGTTGCGGTTCGTCACCAATCCCTTGTACCTCGCGAAATGCTCCCATACGACCAGTCTCTGGTGAGGAAGTCCTACACACCGTCTTCTGGTGCTGGTGGGGTTTTTCCCACCCAAGTGAGAGGATGAAAAGCCAAATTCAGAGACTACAACCGGGGTGGTGGACCACTGGTAGTTCACCTAGGGCAGTTGGTCAAAAACCCTGAATCCAAACAAACCAAGAGGAGGAGTATGAAACACACCCACACCTTTTCGGTTGTGGCAACGGTCACCGCGCTCAATTGGGCATCGAGGTGTATTGGGTGCCTTGGACGTTTGACCCCGTCCGAAGAGCATAGGATCCGATAAAGTGGACACCGGCTCCCAATGGACTGCGGTTTTTACACACCGTCCCTCTGCCTTGCGAGTGAGGCTTTGGTTAGCCGAAGGCTCCGGTTGTGGATTCCTGAAGAAAATTCACCTGCCTTGGCCTGGGCAACCTGACAGTATTCAACCCACGTGCAAATCATGGAATGTTTTTCTTTTTATACGGATTATTGTACCGCGATTTGTTTGGCACACAGTCTGGCGTTAGACGGGTGTGAAACATATAGATATACATATATATGTATCTACACAAACTGTCGCGGACTTGCTGAACACCAGTGCACCACAGATTACTTTCGTGGAGTCGTTGCATCTTGGCCTGATGTCCAATCACGTTCGACAGCTGATCAGGTGCTCTGTTCGCATCCAGACCATGATCAAAGTTGTGTACTGTGCACACAGAGAATAGTTAAGTATCAAAAAAGCAAAAAAACCAATGGTTAGGTGTTCGAAAAATCCAGGTCAAAAATAAATTATATACATGATCGACTCGTACGGATTTTAACCAAGATAAACCTAGAACCCATGCACCACTAATCGACAGTCCGAAGTACTAATACACACTAGTAAACCTCGTCGGGAAATTCATTTCAAACGATCCACTTAGCAGACTAAAACCAAATAGGTTCAAAGTGGGATTGTAGAGAGAACGGTTCGGTGCAGATCAGATCACAAAACACAACACAGGAAAACTAACCTGCATGATGGTCAAAGATGTGATCGATACCAGAGAACGAATAACGCTCCGATTTCGACGAATAGCCTGCCAACTTTGTGCTGTGTTCCCCAGAAAGGCGTGGAGATTTATCAGAGAAGCTATTCTGCAAATTTGGAACGACAGACAACACGTAGCATTACCAAACTCATGGTGTCATCAATAACAAAGGTAACAAAGGACAGGGCATGTAAGACACATATGAAAGCGACTTTTTAAAAGGTTGCAACAACTGAAAAACAAGTGAAAGTATATCTGTGCAATGCAATTGAGTTAGTTTTTTCAAAAGTAATTTTTCTGAACATAAGTCTGAACTACCAAGGCTCGTTCACTGTCTGCAAGTTATAGACACATATAACCATGTGTCTGATGAAATGAAGTTTTACGCCACAAAGAGTGTCCTAGTCATAAGAAAGAAGTGCTGGAGAGACAGACTCGGACGGGAATTGAAACCCGTTGTGCATAGAGCGAACACGCCATTAATTGGAAAACTGCATAGAATAGGGAAATCATTTTTTGCCGTGCTCGCGAGTCTTCGTCAGCGCAAATCAACCAAACGGACTGGCGGAACGAGCCTCGGAAAAGTCCGTTGCAGAACGCAAGTACACAGGCCAAACGGGAGCTGCTTAGACTGGTCTGCAGACAACACAGCCTAATCTATCTTTGCAAGTTTATTAAAAACTACAAACTCGCCTAAGTCGACAGTAGCCTGCCGGGTTAGAAATATTCCAAACCAGACTACTTTGCCGTGCATGTGATGAACTTCATGACTTTTCTATCTCATTACTCAAGGCAGAAAATTTTTTCACTAATGAACTATACATGCATTGTTTTTGTGCACCCCGGGTTACCAACAACACTTGGTATGTATTGGATTACAACATGAATTCCTTCCACAGAAGAGATACATCTGTGGTCATAGTTATTCGGCTGAGGTGGTTTAACCGACAGATCGATTGACAGAGAGGTGATCAAAAGAATCATACAAGGAAATCAGTTTAGACAAATGATTTCACCGGAGAAACTGTGGCATCAAGCAATCAGATCCAATCAAACCGAATACAATCCCTGACATCCGTAGATATCCGCTAGTGTTAGGGATACAAATACGGAATAGAGAAGGTTCACCTCGTTTCACTTCTGTTGATTTCGGTTATATAAAGATAGCAATGTTAGCAGAGCAATAGGAGCAACCATTGAGCACCGAAGGGAAGAGATAAAACAGTTTGAGAAGAGTCACGTGATTCTGCACTGCCTGAGAGGCCAGGAGTGACAATACTACCCAATNATCTGACGACAACTCAATCCCAATTTACCATGCAGTCATCCTTGGTGTGTCCCAGAAGCGTCCAGTGAAAAGCTGAAAGAGTTCGCTCAGTTGTCAACAGTGAAATATCCAATGAGTTGTGGCGGCTTGAATCCACGCCTGAGCGAGACCTAATTAAATCCCACAGTTTTTACAACCATTAACCATGCACTTACCTGCGCCGGTTTTGGTTGCTATCTTTTGGCCGCCCATTTGGATAAAATAGAAACGGAGAAAGAGAGGACAATTCAGTCGAACACCACTTTCCGTGGTGAATTCGGGCAAAAAGTGCCGTAAGCTTGGACTCGGCTTCGACTGTTATTGTAAAGCGAGGCAGCGCCGGAGTTTAGAGCGATCGACTGAGCCGAAAGCCGCTTTCAGATCGAGGAAGATAGAAATGGTGTGTCTACAAAAGGAGTGTCTGTGCTCTAGAATTTGACGAGCAGTGAAGATGTGGTCGATACAACCTCGACCAGGTCTAAAACGAGCCTGGTTCTCACGCGCGCACTATTCATGTGCGGCAGACAAACGACAGAGTATGATACCACCGAGAAGTTTAGCAGCAATGTTGATTAAACTAATTCCTTGTGGTTTTCACAGGACGATCTGTCACCTTTCTTGTAAATCGGTATGATCACTGATCCACACCATTCAGTTGGAACCTCTTCCCTTGAAAACAATGAGCCCAGGAGTTTTGTTAACTCCAAAACCAAGGCTATACCTCTATTCTTAAAAACCGACGGGGACAGCCCGTCGGGGCCGGAAGCCTTATGCCGTTTGAGATAACTTATTTCCCGGGTAACCTCCATTTCAGATGGAGGTCTGAGGTCAACTGGTAACATTCGCGCAGTTGAAGCGCATAGGGGGAGGTCGACAGGGACCAGCTGAACTGTGCCTTAAAATGTTCTGTCCAACGTTTAAGGCGGCTTTCCTGATTTTGAATCAGTGTGCCGTCAGACTACTTAATTACCTTAATTACATAAATCCCACATGGTACTATAGGCTCAGTATGGTATTTCCACGTCATCCTTATATGCTATAATGTTCATCAGTTGTTACCACCAAACAAATTGTAATTTTTGGATGCATAGGTTCTCATCACTGCACCACAGCAACCACCAACCAAACCACTAATCGAAATGAACAATTTCCCGCCAGAAAACTAGGCTGGAGGTTGATTCAGCATTACAGAAAAGCTTCGGAAGCACTGCACAGTCGATATATTTTGTCATCAACCAGTTCTAGGGGCTACCAGAGATAAAGAATAGTCCTCTTCGAGGTTTATGGATGGCAAGTGTGATAGGTTGGCGTCGCATGGGCAAAACATTCCCCGTTTAGGAATATTCCTTTCTTGCTTGTGCATTTTGTTTGTTTTTCCTGATTTAGGTTACCGTAAAGATAACGTCCTGGCAGACACTCCGGAGACAATAGACGTCATGTCAATTTTTGAACCGATGGAATAATGTACCGTAAGTGAATAGCTTATGGACGATACTTGACGATAATAGAATTATGTTACTGACTGTTTGTTAGTAACAAAAATGTAAGCGAGAATTGGACGTGGATGAATAAGAAGCACCGGAGAAAGAATATTCTGCTTCGGTCCGTGCCTTGCGTGGAGAAAATCGCGCGAGAACGTACTTATTCGAACCCGCTCGTTTAATTGATTGATACCAAAAGCAAGTATGAAAAACCACTCTCATACATGCTATGGCATGCTAAACCCTCGGGTTAAGCAGAGCTGAATGCTACCAGGCGCGTTCCCGGGTTGTGGATAGGGGGATACCTTCATCGAAGAAAGCTGTGAATAAGTTGTGGCATACCGCAACAAATAAGTAGTCGCAAAAACACAGTGACGGCACTACCAGGGTGTGGTGGGTTTCGGGCTGGTCACCTGGCTCCTGTATACAAGCCGCATAAGCCCAATGACGGTGCCGTGACAAAGGTCGATGTGACTGGCCTTTAAACACTGAAGTCAGTGACCCCCACACTTCCGAGGCGAGGGCTTACTTCCTGCTGCCTTGCAGTTTGCACTTGGTTGTGCAAAGGCTAGAGGTGCGCCCTCAGAATAAAAAAACGCCGAGTGACGCTGGGACCGTCTCTCATATCAAACCCCCAAGTAACTTCACGATTATGATCAGGGTTGGAGCCGACTTATCCTTTCCAAGGAGCCAGACGCAGTAAAGTAAAGAAAGGCACTAAACTGGCTAGTGAGGATGGTGAAATACAGTATACAACAATACTCCGGCTGGCTGGAGAACTGATAGGATTAGAAGCTCGATCAAAAAGAAAGATGTCAACTGTAGTTGGTGGTAGGCAGCTCTGCTGTCGTCCGGTGCAACACCACGCCTAACCCATTGGGGCCTTATGTGGCTCGCCAATCCAAGTCCCGGTGCTTAGGTTGCCGGTTTCCACCACTGAACAGCATGTTCTCGTGACTATGGGGTTTGCCCCCACACTAAGGTGTGCAATAAAAAAACTGTAGTTAGCCTCAAAAATAGGGGGTATTTGTCCGATATTGGCTGTTCAGTTTAGATACGCTGAATCCGCCCGGGTTAGCAATATACTTAATTAGTTATAAGTAAGCAAACACCAGGCATATGTATGCAGGGAAATCAATATACAATTACACAAATAACCAGTGGAAGTAAATGCCAGATACCTCTAGAATAAACAGATATACTCATTTTTTGGCTGCGATGGGACTTGTAGTTTGAGCGTCAACAAAAAGTACTACACAAGTGATTCGTCCTTATTAGGTAGGCCTCATCAGCTGTGAACATTCAGGGTGGGGTGGGGTGGAAGACTGTATCTTCACAGTCAATTCGCAAATTACAATGGAGCGTTAAAGTAGCTAGTCAAAAAAGACAAAATGATCAAACAGACGAGAAAGCGAACGTTACTGACAGGATGAGCGGTTAGTAATAATGAGTGTGCGAATCACTGTATTGAATTGTACAGACATATGGAAGCGACAATGCTTACATTTCCCTAAGCTGCGCACTCAATAATAATGGTGTTATAATATGTAGATGTCTAGGAGGGAGGAATTTGAATTGAATTGGGAACGAGTACGGGAATTAGGAACAACTTTAAGGCGTTCATTGTGTAAACAGTGGTCGGCATCAGATAAGAGACGCATGGTATACTAGTCACATGCATCAAAATGGTGGCGAGTAATCCCATCAAAAAAGATCATCACGGGGAATCTCACTGGGTTTAGACAACACATTAAGAGGGCGGACAAACTCAGCACGGAGTCTTAATCTTTTGAACCGAGAAAAGTGATGAGGGAGTAGTACAGTCAACGAGTTTTACTGACAAATTTACATAGTAAGCATTTTTCTCCCAACAGGGAGACAACAAAAGAATGTACTGTTGAGGAGGCTCAATAGGGAAAGACAGTGTTCAGTGCTTTTCATCGACTTGTCAAACAAGAAGTTCCAATGGAAATGGAATGTTTCCAACCCTGGAGGGCAAGTGTTCAGATGAGCGAGGTGTTT